TCTACTGATATTACTCTAAAACTATTAGGTCTGTGCAGTGTCCTGTGACATCTATGTACCAAGTTTCATTGAAATGTGATGATTACTATTTGAAATATCAAAAGCTGAAAATTAATTAATTATGCAAATTAGGTAATTAATATGTACTGATATTACCTTAAAAACTATCAGGTTTGTGCAGTGTCCTATGACATCTATGTACCAAGTTTTATTGAAATGTGATGATTAGTACTTGAGTGGTTCTTTAGAATTCAGTCATGGAAAAGCTAAAAATCAGCTAATTATCATGCAAATTAGGTAATTAATATGCATGAATTTTTCCCAAAACCTAATCAAATCTGCGCATTGGCCCAGAGCATCTATGCACCAATTTTAATCAAAAATCAATGTATGGTTCTTGAGATATCAGTGGAACAGACGGACACGCATACACACACACACATACACAAACAAACATACACATACAGACACACTAACTGCAAAGACTCCCATTGTGTGCGTCGCACATGGGAGTCAAAAATGTAAAGGCGCTGACAACGAAGCTAAAAAAACATAGTGAGAACACAATGCTTTCATGCAAAGTGGTTTATTTTGAGACTTAAATATACCCACATTTAACACTGAAGCAGACAAAAATAATTTAAATTGCTCTGCAGTACATAGCTTCATGCAAAATGGTTTTATTTTGAGACTTAAATATACGCACATTTAACACTGCAGCTTCACTACATAGCTTCTGATTTGTTTTTACATTTGTATTTTATGACAAGCTTTTTTGACTTTATATCTTTTAAGATATATACCTAAATTTTTTTGAATGAAGGAAAATGTTTTCCGGAGTTGTTTTTTAACCTTTTCGCCACCAGTTCCCTTTTTTCATCACAAATTCACAAAATAGTCCTGTTTATATAGTCCTGCACTTTCCTTCAAAAGATTGGGACAAAAATAGCCAAATTTTTTGAGTAAAAACTGAAAATACCTGGAGGTATGTAATGGCAATCTTGAGCTTCAACCTGAGCTTGCTCAGAGTCAATCTGAGCTCCACCCTGAGCTTCAACTTGAGCTTGGGAAATTGTTCACAGCAGAAGCTCAAACAAAGTTGGGGCACCTACACTGAGCTCCAACCTGAGCATCTATAAGATTACATCAGCACGGTTGAAGTTGAATATTATGTTTCCAATTCAGCAGTTGCCCAAGAGTTTTGTTACGGTCAACTGCCGAACCCATAAAAATGCCACACACGTACACAAGACCGAATATATTTCTTGAAATATTATGTTGAAAATAAATCTCGCTAAGTGAAAGGGAACTACTTTAAAGATTCACAGTACTGGTAAACGCTGTAGCCATTGTTTACTAATCACTCAAACCCGTAAAATATCTTACTTTTACAAGTTACGTTGATATCAATATCTGTATTATGTGGGGATTATATTCATGAGTGCCCAGTAGTAAAACAAAATGCATAGAAATGACTGTTTCACCACAAAAAAATGGTAAGATGTATAATCTGCAAGGTATGCTGAAAAATGCTGTGGTCTCTGCTGTCAATTATTTTCGGTACATGTTTTTCCAAAAACATTATTGTCTCCCACCCACCTCCTAAATGCCAAACATCACAACAAAATGAATGTATCATCTTTTTTTATTCTGAATGTTTCTAACATGGAATGACAACCATGCTTTATCGTACTTAGATCTATGTCCATTCTTAGGATACGACTTCAATAAAGACTACCGTTTTATTATTATTATTATTATTATTATTATTATTATTATGAAGGACAATATTCCCTTCACCTTTCTGTCAATGTATTACTATGATATTTATAGTTTTGTTGTGCTTTTGAGATGTTTTTGTCTCTAATGTTTTACCTTTTTTGTTTATGTTTAAACAATCTAAGGTGACTAATCACTATATTCACAGTCCCTAGCTCTATCCTGTATAGAGGGTCTGTGGTATTAGACCTTGAGTTTATGTTTGGCCTTAATGTAGCTTGTAATTAAACAAAGCAGGGCATAGTCAAGCCTGGTTTTTACCCATCAAGCTTTGCAAAATTTTAGTTTTTGTTTTGTATAATTTGGGGTAGATAATCAAATTCACTTAAATTACCTGCCTTCAAATATCTATAAATATATATCCCTTTGCTTATAGGTATGCTAATTTTTGTGTTGGTTCAAAAAGTAAGCTGTTAAAAGGGTTAAAATGGTTGGACAACCGGAAGTGCTCTGCCTGCTGCCAAGCTTTAAATTATGACATCACATATTTAAACAATGTTTTATCGGTGCTGTCCAGTGGCGGATCCAGGGGGCGGGAGGGGAGGGGGCACGCCCCCCAAATGGATGAAAATTCATTTGGATTACGCATAGCTTCTCTGCGATTTTTGCTCCGTAAATTTTAAGCAAAGCTTGGAACCCCACCCCCAATACATTTTGCTGGATCTGCCACTGGTGCTGTCTATCTTTAACAGCTAGTGGTTATACCACATCACCACCATTTATCGATAATGAAAATTTGGCAATTTTAGACATATCCAGATTGACGTTGTTGATGGGATGGGCAGAAAAAAAATAGACAGGCTAAAGGGACCTCCCATGCACATTCATCAAATACAATACATTTATTTGAAATAGATAATAAATACACATCCATTAACAAAAAAGATTAGAGATGTATTCAAAATAAATTCTTCTCGTATAAATGTCCGTGTACTTTATAGATTTAAATGTCCATTTCTGCTCTGCAGTTTTACTCAAGGAATTGTACCTAGTGCTT